CCCGCACGCTGCGCTGCCCTCGCCCGCCGAGCCTTCTTTACCCGCCGGCTCCAAGATGTGTCGCGCTCCCCGCGGACATGGCGACCGGCTCTGCTCAACCACCCGCCAACTACCCCACTACCAGCTTCCCGTCACTTCCGCCCCCAACGCCCTTACGCACAGCCTCTTCCGGTCGTCAGGGGAAGCGCTTCCGGTTAAAACGTCTATTCCGATTGGACTCTCGCCGCTTCCGAGACGCCCGGCGTCGTCTGAGCCGGGGAGGGTGTGACCTTCCCGCGCGCGCTGCCCCTGGGAAAGATGGCCGCCGAGCCGCGTAGGACGCGGCGCCGGGCGACGGGCCCCCATCTTTGTTGCGGGCAGGTCGGCCACCCGCGCGCCAGTACGCATGAGTCAGGGCATTGAACGGGTTTCGGCCCGGTTCGGCTGCGTCTGCGCGGAACCACCCTTGCCCGCTTCACGGTTCAGCCCCCCATTCAGGAGAAGGGAAACGATGCGTCCCAGAGGTCGTTTGGAGAATTCCTGCTTCGTTTTGCTTTGTGTCCACTCCTGGGCGCCAGGCCCCGTTCGAAGAGGAGGGCTGACATGAAGTCGTGAAGATGAGGTCACCACGGCGCCGCCTCGCCAGCAGCCACCGTGCGGCGGGTGCGCACAGTGCTCAGCGTGGCGGCTTAGACGCGGGGACTTTTTTTTTGCGGGAGGAGTGGCCGGCGCACGTTCCGAGCACCCGGTCCCGGGACCCGGGGACCTGCGGTGTCGCAGCGGAGCTGGCCGGCGTGCGGGGCCAGAGCGGCAAGGGCCTGGAATACCAGGGGACGTCCGAGTCCACTCGGGAAGCCGTCCCTTCCTCGATGGACAATTCTTGGGGTTGTTCCCCCTCTTGGCAATTCCGAAGTGCCGCAACGAACATTCCTAAACAAGTTTGAAGTACTTGTTTTTAATTCTTTTCGGTTTTACCCAGGAGTAGAATTGCTGGTTAGGGTTAGGGTTACACAGTAATTCTAGAGTTTACTTTGGTGGAACCACCAGACCCAGCAGCGGCACCGTTTTACGTTCCCACCAGCAACCTGTGAGGGTTCCTATTTGTCCACATTCTCTCCAACACTTTATTTTCTCTTAAAAAAAAAAATTTTTTTTTTAATTATAGCCATCCTAGTGGTATGTCGTGATTTTGATTTGCATTTCCTTAATGACCAATGATCTTTTTCTTGTGTCTGCTGGCCATTTGTATTCTTCGAAGAAATGTAATTCCACTGTGGAATGTAATGTTTGCTTCTAATAATTATTTGTAAATGTTTGGGAAATTTTATTTTTCTTTTATTAAGCATTTTTGTCGAGATCGGATGGTAAGATTTAGCAAATCACTTGTTGGTAGGTTCTATAAAATCATATACATTTTTGTAATCAGCTCTGATGCTAGATATTGTAATGTTGAATTTTGCATTTTGAAATAAACTCTTTTTGTTATGATAAAGCCTGAGTAACTGTTCCAGATTAAAGGAGACCAAAGACACGTGACAACTGAATGTAATATATGATCCAAGATTTCTTTTGCCATAAAAGACACTATAGGCAACTGGCAAAATCCAAATAAGGTTTTCAATGTAAAGAATAGTATTGTAGCCTTGTCAATCTATTGATTTCGATCATTGTGCTGTGGTTATGTAAGAGAATATTCTTGTTTTAGGGGAAACACACACCGAATAATTGAGAGGTAAAAGGAGCATCATGTCTGCAAACTTTCAAACTGTTCAGAAAAATATTATGTGTACACGCATATATACAGAGAGAAAAGGAAAAAGCAAGTGTGAAAAAATGTTAACATTTGAGGAGTCTGGGCAAAGGGGATCCAGAAAGGCTTTGTACTGTTCTTGTAGCTTTCTCTAAGTCTGAAATTGTCAAAAGAAAAAAATACTAAGTTTTTTTTTAAAGTTTATAATAACGATAAAACAATAAGAACAGCAACAACATGTCATCTTTAACATTAAAAAAGAGAGACAGCGCACTGCATTTCTGTGGGAACTGACTGCCAGAAAAATGCCAGGCCTAATGGTTGGGCCCTGTGTTTGACTCAGATCAACGTGGCACGGCGTCTCAGCCTCTCCAGCGATATTCACACTCGGCAGAGGAGAACCATTTTAGGAACTCGATTCCATGGGAGAAATTTTCATCAGTGACCATCTCAGGGGTGATCTGAAGATCAGTGGTGAAAGGAAAACTGCCCAATAAGTAAAAATTGACGTCATCAAACTTTCTGACCAAGGGGCTCACTCTACTTTTAAGAACGCCAGTCAGCAACCTGGTGCTGGGGGCCCACCGATGCCATCGCACACATGGTCACTCACCATTGCTACCCCTACAGCATCCGTGGGGCGCTTGCTCCACAAAACCGGGGGTGCTATGCCGAGGGATGCGAAATAACTTAGGGGACTTGACCAACGTACGGCGCCGATCTGGAGGGTCCAGTCTATTTTCTGCCTTTTAGTTACGGGAAGTGTCGAAGTTGTCTCGTGTCTTCCTTTGGTGTTCTGCCTCGGATGTCTGGGTGCTCGTTTTCTGAAAGGTATGTGATGTCGAAGCACGGCCTTGGCACCAGAAGTGGATTGGGAAAAGCGCGGATGTCCCCGAGAGGTCCCGGAGTGACCAAAGGCACCCCTTACGTTCCTTCTGAGTGCAATAGTTACACTTGCCTTCGGAGACTCTTTCTTTGTTGAGGGGGTGGGTGCATTTATGTGTGTTCATTAAAAATGGATGTCCGTGGAGGAGGACTCTTCAGAAATGCATGTATGAGGAGACGGGGGCGTGTGCAAGGAAGCAGGGGTCTGCGGGCTGCGTTTCCTTGGCTGTCCCCGTGAGCCAGCCCCTCCTACAGTCTCCGGAAAGCACGGCCCTGCGTATTTTGCGACTTGGTGGCCACAGCTGACTAAACCAAGGATACATACTTGACTAAGGATCGAGAAGACTCAGAACCAGAGAACCGTGGTTGGTCACCGGTGCTGGGAGGTGGTGCTGGGGTGTCAGGGCCGAGGAAACCGTTCTGTTCGGTGAAAAGTGAAAACGATGGAACTCGCTCCCCGCGCGCTTCCTGCTGTGTCTCATGTGAATCCATTCGGATCTACTGAAACCCGAAATGGCCCTGCTCTCCCCTGCCAGCGTTCCCACCCCCTGCAGCAGAGGGAGGGAAGAGGAGGCAGGGATGGGTGGGCAGTGGGCAGAAGGGGGAGGAGTGTTCAAGGACCCTGGCGTAACCAACGTCATGTGTGCTTAGATACCTGTTTCACCACTAGAAGCAACTCGGGGTGTGGGGGGTGTCCTGTTCCTCGCAATAAAAGAGGTGCAGTCACTGTCGCAGCCCAGGGGGAGGGGAATGGCTAAGACCCGAATGGGGAGGGTTTGAGAACACAGAGAGATGGCTCTTGGTTGAGAAGTGGAATAATTCCTCCCGAAAATTAAAAAATAAAATGCCCACACACTTTTTAAGAAGATGATTTGACTATTCTGGAGCCACGATGACAAGCAGCCATCAGAAACCTATTTTTAACCTGTCAAGTCCATCAACAGCTTGCCCAAGTGAACATCCAATCCGTGCCAACCCCTCTCCAGTAAACGCCTCGGGGTGCCGAGCAGTCAACCACAGTCTCGCCAGGGAATCACCTTCTACAGATGACGTCTGCCCACTTACGCCTCTGAAATCCCGCCTGTCCCTGAACTCCAGCTTCCCCGAATCCTGTCGGAACAAGATTTACAGTCTGCTCTGCTCATAGAGATGATGCCTGACCAACGTATCTCTCCCTTACATTTAAATTTAGTGAACATTTCTAGAAAAACCATTCGCCGGCCTCACACTCCTTTCTGGCTTGAACCAGCGTGCTCCGTGTTACAAGAAACAGGAACCCTAACTCAGGTGGCTCACGCAGTGATCAGCGCATCCTCTCGCATAACTGGAGGTCCAGACGTGTACGCTCGGCTCCCCTGCCCCATAGGAAGGCTTTGTCCTTAGACTGGCTTCCTTCGTGGCGCTAAGGTAACCGCCAACATCGACTAAAGCACATGCTTCTGTGTTTAGGCCCAACAGGAGAAAAATCCTGTCATGTGTTCACTGGCTTAAGCTTTGGCTCCTGAACCAGTTCCCGTCAAGAGGATGGTTGTGATTGGCTTAAACTAATCAGGACCGACCCTTAGAGCTGGGGACTGGACTAGCTTCCTCCAGGTCACCTGGGGAGGAGTGGATACCGGAACCAATCAGGTTCCTTAGAGGGCAGGGGAGGACACGGAGGCTGCGGAAGCAGCCAGCAGGTCGCAGAGGCACTGGGCCTTTCCTCGCACGGTCCACGCATCACCACCTGCCACTCATGTTGGGCACTGCGCCCGGGGGCCCACAAGTTTTCGACCTGCTTTTCCTCCTCTAGTTTCCAAAGCTGGATGTGGTAGCCCCATGCACCGATCCAGCCATCTGAAAAAGCTTATATTTTATGAAGCGAAGGACTGTATTTTATTATTTTTGTCTCCCCGGCATCCAGCACAGTGCCTAGCACAGAGTAAAGGTTGGACAAATGCTGTGATTATCCAGCACAGTGCCTAGCACAGAGTAAAGGTTGGCCAAATGCTGTGATTAGTGAATGAATGAATGAATGAATGAAAAAGGAAGGAAGGAAAAAGGAGGGAAGGAGGAAAGCAGGAAGGAAAGAGAGAAGGAAGAAAGAAGAGAGGGAAGGAGGGAGAAAGGAAGACACAGTAGAAAAAAGAAAGGGCCCAGAGTGAAGTTCTCAGACTTGGCCAGCTGGTGGCATCACCTCTACATACCACACTGGGTGTCCGTAGTCTCGGACTGAGGGAAAGGATTTAGATTAGAAATGAATAAAGGTAAAGAAAGAAATGATCAGAGGACCAGATATTTCAAATGGATAACAGAACCCTGGAATTCTGACCACGCTTCTTTGCTCCAAGCCAGGAGGAAATTAATGCATTAAGCAGCCATCTTCACTGCAGGATTGGCAAGGTGACCTGGATAGGTGGAAGAGTAAATGTGGCCAGTGCATGAGGCCAGGAGGTAGCCCGTGGGACTCACCTAAACCTGGGCTGGGTACGCCCCTTCTGCCACCCCCATCACACCCAAACATCCTGGTACCCAGCCTGGATCTCTTTGCTTCTCTGTGTCTTCTATAGGGTTCGCCAAAGCCACTGTGATTTATTGTCCCGAAGGGCTTACCTCCTACCCCAGCCCGCCAAGGGAGCGGAACGCCCAACATCTTAATGAGTCGGCAGAGGACAGGAAGGTGCCGAATGTCTTGGAACGCTTGAAAAAGCCTCCCTCTCCTGCCCGCCACCTTCACGGCGAATCCGGCAAAGGACAGGGATGTGGGCCCGAGAGGGAGGGCCCAGTGGAGCCTGTTTCCCAGCTAGAGCTGAGATCACGAGGAGACGGGATGAGGCGTGAGGAGGGCATATCTCGGGGTCCACAGCTCTGAAATGGGGTTTGGGGACTGGAGAAGAGAGCGAGGGGTACCCTTGACCTCTGACTCCGTGGTCTAGAGCAGGAAAGGCTGAAAAGGCGGGGGAGTGATGGAGTCGCCAGGCTACTTAACACTTGGCAGGCCTGGTCCACTCAGGTCCCCGGCCTGGTTCCTAGTAGGGAGGGGACAGGAAGCTGCAACTTCCTCCCCCCCACTTCCCTCCCTGCCCTTAGCCTCAAGGCCAATTGCTATTGCAATAAATTCCAACCTGTGTTTGAGTTGGCACTGTTCCCCGGGCTTGGTGATAAGTGCTTGGTACTCTGCTCCCTTCTGCCACAAACACCCCGAACTTTTCCTTTGAAATGGAAATCGTTCGTGCAAACAGCAACATTCAAAGAGCTTTTTCACATGTATTATCTGATTTCATCACACCAGTCTAGTGAAGCAGAGATATTATTTGAAAATTTTAAGCAAGGAAACAGGCTCAAGGGAGTAAAGTTATTCACTGAAAGTCACACAGCAAGTGAGCAGGTCTGGGACTCTAGAATCTCTGCTCTTTCTCCCTCTGCCACATAGAGCCCTTCACACGCAAACACACGCACGCACGCGCACACGCACACGCACGCACACTCTCTTATCCCGATGTGTGGGCCCTGCCTCACCCTGCCCCACCCACCACCGGTGAAGACCCACAGGGAACGAGAGAACTGTCCCATCCACACCCCGCCCTCGGAGGTGTGGGTGTGGGCTGGGGCTGCCGGCGGCCAGAGGCCCCTAGAGAAGCACTCAGGTCTGGAGCCTCCCGCTGAGAGGCACAGGTGGCTCCCGCCAGTCTGGCCCTGGCTGGCCCCGCTGCCCAGCACCTCGGACCTCTGATGCCCTGCGATGCCCACGCCCAATGCCTCCACCCTGCTGCCCACGTTCTGGGTCAATGCCTCCGCAGGTGGAGTGTTGAGTGCGGATGAGGCCGGGACGCCCGTCGAGTTCCTGGCCCTGAGGGTGGTGGTGGCCCTGGCCTACGGGCTGGTGGGGGCCGGTGGCCTGCTGGGGAACGTGGCCGTGCTGTGGGTGCTGGGGCGCTGTGCTCGGCGAGCCCCCTGCCCACCGGCCGACACGTTTGTCTTCAACCTGGCACTGGCGGACCTGGGCCTGGCGCTCACGCTCCCCTTCTGGGCGGCTGAGTCCGCCTTGGACTTCCACTGGCCCTTCGGAGCTGCCCTCTGCAAGGCGGTCCTGACGACCACCGTCCTCAACGTCTATGCCAGCATCTTCCTCATCACGGCGCTGAGTGTCGCCCGGTACTGGATGGTGGCCACGGCCACCGGGCCGGGCACCCACCTCTCACTCTTCTGGGCCCGCACGGCAACACTGGCGGTGTGGGCGGCAGCCGCGCTGGCGACGGTGCCCACAGCCATCTTTGGGGCCGAGGGGGAGGTGTGGGGCGTGCGCCTGTGCCTCCTGCGCTTCCCCAGCAGGTACTGGCTGGGGGCCTACCAGCTGCAGAGGGTGGTGCTGGCCTTCATCGTGCCCCTGGGCGTCATCAGCACCAGCTACCTGCTGCTCCTGGCCTTCCTGCGGCGGCGGCGGTGGAGACGGCCGGACAGCAGGCTGGTGGCCCGCTCAGTCCGCATCCTGGTGGCCTCCTTCTTCCTCTGCTGGTTCCCCAACCACGTGGTCACGCTCTGGGAGGTCCTGGTGAAGTTCGACCTGGCGCCCTGGAGCAGCACCTTCTACGCCGTCCATACCTACGTCTCCCCCGTCACCACCTGCCTGGCGCACAGCAACAGCTGCCTGAACCCGGTGCTGTACTGCCTCCTGCGGCGGGAGCCCAGGCGGGCCCTCGCGGACACCTTCAGGGACCTACGGGCGTGGCTGTGGCCCCCGGGCCGCGGCTGGGTGGAACAGGTCACCCTGAAGGAGGTGGGCAGGGGGCAGGCGGACGGCGCCCCCCAGGAGAGAGGCCCTTCTGCCATGCTTGCCGACTCAGACACAGGGCCCCCTGGGTGACAGTGCAAGCCGAACAGCCGCCTCTCTCCGGGGCCCGCCACGGCGGTGAGGGGGGAGGGGGAGGCCAGGCCCTGACGCCCTCGGCAAAGTCCGATCTTTGATCTCGCCCTGGGTGCGGTGGAATGGGGGAGGCCGGGCCCAGGGCGGCGCTGGGCACTGGGCGCAAAGCTTGAGTCTCCACTGGGAGCAGGGAGCGACGAGGGTCTAAGAATAAACCTCCGGACCGCAGGTCATCTAGAACTTTTGTCCCAGTTTGGTGTGGACGAAAGCGTTCTCTGCCTCCTGCGAGAATTCCCAGATTTTCCCTGAGCGTTCCAGACTTGGGATCAGAGGTCTGTGCCCATCTCCTCTGCCTGCCCTCCCTGCCCTGCCACACCTCAAACAGGGTGTGCCCTTGTCCTTCTCCGGTGCCAGAGCCCTCCTGCCCTGGACATCACCTTCTCGCCCTCTCGGTGGAGCCTGCGGACATCTCTCAGCTGCAGAAGCCGTGGTCCCCAGCAGGGAGAGGCCATCAGCGGCGTCTTGCCGGACCCCTGGCACCGGCCAAGCCCAGAGCATAAACCCCTGGTGCTGGCTGGGAACCCCTGGGCGTCTCCCCTTAGATCAGGATTTGCGGGGAGAAGTAAAGGTCATGACAAGCCAAGGCTGTGGGTGGGGCCTGGGGAGGTGAGGGACCAGAAAGGAGGCTGCGGGTGGGGGGCGGAGAAGTGGGGAGCCCGAGGCGCCCCGACCCGGGCTTCGCTCCTGGAGCACGTGGGCTCGGTCACAGCCTCGGCCTAGCTGCCACTGACGGCCACCGGCTCGGAGCTTGTTTCCTCACCTGTGAAATGGCCGTCGCCCGAAACAACGTTCGCTACGATTCTCGTCTTGCGTGCAAAATGGACACAGAAGGAAGAGGGAGGAAAGAGGGGGCCCGCTGGGGGACAGGGCCGGGGGAGAGGCCTCTCCGGAACCCGATGCTCTGGGGCGAACTGTGTTGGACATGAGGGGCGAGTGGGGTGTTGGGCTCTCGAAGGTACTCCCCGGGGAAGGGGTTCCCCTTGGGTTTCCAGACCCACAGAGGCCTGCGGCCCAGCAACGATTAAGGTTGGCCACCAGACGGGACTTTCTCGGTGGGCAGCCCCCGGGAAGGCGGGAGGTGGCAGAGGGACGATGGGGTGGAGCTCAGGCCACCCAGGGCGCCTGGCGGGGATGGGTCACAGGCCTGCAGGCCCTGAGAAGGGGCTCTGAACAGCCGCTCAGTTCACAGCATAGGAAGTACCGTTAAGGAGAGTTAATTAGCCTCGTGATGTTTCATTTCCTCGTTTTGATAATGTTTAAACTGGTTCCAAAGCTCCAGGTCTGTTCACAGCTGGTTCCATTGGACAGAAGTCCTTGCCCACCGAACTCTGCCACCCCTGCTGCTCCTCCTGGGCCGTCCCTGCTGGGGTCTGGATATTGGCTCCTTTGGGGGCCTGTCGGTTTTATGGGACCCAGAAGTAAATATTGACCAAGTTCAAACAGGGCCAGGCCAGAGAGGCATGAATGCGCGTAGGCCCACCGTTGGAAGGGGTGGGTCTGGTGACGGAGGAGTCATCTCTGAGGCGAGAAGCCAGCCCTGCAGCACGAAGCCAGAGCTCTGGAACCGCAGGAGGGACCCAGGTAAGAGTGTTGGCAATGGGACTGGGGACTGCGCATCGCCAGGACGGTGACGGCGAGGACTAACCTCAGGAGCAGCCGGAGCACAGCGAGCGTGACGTCATGCCTCCCAGGATGCGGAGGGGCTTGGTCAGGGGACAGCTAGAGGGACAATGGTTTCTGGGCCTGACCAGCATCTGTGGGGGAGCATGTGGGAGGGGCCCTTGGGTGTCTTTGGGTGCTGCCGCTAGCACAGCGAGCGTGACGTCATGCCTCCCAGGATGCAGAGGGGCTTGGTCAGGGGACAGCTAGAGGGGCAGTGGCTTCTGGGCCTGACCAGCATCTGTGGGAGCATGTGGGAGGGGCCCTTGAGTGTCTTTGGGTGCTGCCACCCCCACCCACGCTGGCCTTGCTGCTGTCCACTCAGCCCTGGCTCCGGGCTGACACAGCGGACGGCTGCCGTGGTGCTTCTGAGACCTGGAGCACCCACCGGCACTTTGTGGTAGAGCCATCAAGGGGGGCAGTGGGGATTGCAGCCGGCAGGGCTGGCCCCTTCCAGGCTCACCTTCCGGGTCTGGCGACCTGTCTGCATCCAGGATGCCACGAGTGTAAAGCGGGAGCGACGCCTCCCGCACAGGCTTCGTAATGATGAGAAAGCGCCTTGGGAAGGCCTCGTGCGGGTGGGTGAGAACCCCGGGTGCGAGGGGTGCTGGCTGCACCCCCAAGCCTGCCCCCACCACAGACTCCTCGTCCTCCTCCCAGCAGAGGTCTGGGGCCCACCCTTATCCTATCACCCCAGGGGCTCCCACGGAGACCTGTGCACGCACAGGCCACTTCTACAAGTCTAGACTCCCTG